ATTTGATTTATAATCAATCGCCTTTCATCTATCACTCTGTGGTGAAGACGATCAATGTTTTCCTGGTGGTGGCAGTTGCAGCACATCCAGATCTTGGGTTATCTTCAAGGCTCTCCTTTCGCCTCCTAGATCCAGCTTCGCACTTTTTTTTACTGCTGATAAAACTGGAACGTCATCCCCTAATATAGCAACCATGATGAATGCCTTTGGGGGAGAAACCCGTTTTTTTCTTCAGGTATCTGATAACACTTCTATGCCAAATTTAGTCCATTTTCAAGAGAAGCCGCTATTAGTTACGTTTGAAGTCTTCTTGATCAAGATGCCAGTTTACTAAAACATAGATATAGATAAGAAAAGTCGAAATTAATGCATGCAAATTTTTTTTTTCATGATAAAAACCTATAAACCTTCAACCCACCCTCGTATTTTTAGAAAAGGGGACATGTGAGGTTTCGTCCATTCAGATTTGAACAAAAAGTCATGCATTTGAAAAAGAAAGGAACGTTGAAAAAATTTAAATTATATTTTAATTCTTGTTTTTTGGGTAAATTCTGTTTTTTAATTTCTTTTATGGTGCAGGAAGCATTTAATCTCTCACCTGTAATAATTATCACAAGTCATAGATAGGAGAAACCTCAAAGAATTTAAATAAAACAATTATATGAACACAAAAGGGATATTTTACAAAACAACGCATTAAACGCATTAGTTGTTCATCGTAGAGATCAAAACATATATTTAATTAATAAAATTTTTTGATACTCCTCCAATTAAAAGAGAAAGCAATTTACAGAGACGAAAACACAGAAGTGGAATTTAACCGTCAGATCATCCGCAAATATTTGATTGAATCATAAACAAAAGGAAATTAATCGACTAGACTAATATATAGACCAAATCATTAAATCAGACATGTTCTTTATATATATATATATATATATATATATATATATATATATATATATATATATATATAAATCATGTGAATGTAAATGGATATAGATCACAGAATGAAGAAAAATTTGGAAAAAACAAACAAAAATCCTTAAATGCAATTAAAAATGAAGGAAATGTCGAACATTTCGGTTTAAAAACCTTTTCAAGACAATATTCATTAAAATACAATTCAGTTCAATTTGAACTACGGACATAAACAACAAGTCTTATCCAAAAAACAGATAACTGAAAATTTTTTTAAATGATCAGGCTTTCCGTTTAGCATTCACGTTGTCGTCACATTTTCAAAACATATTCATAAAATTTTTGATTATTTTGAATGAAAAGACAAATGAAAAAATTCTATTAGATCTAAAATAACCTTAACAAAGTATGCTTGTCGGGCATTAATCTCACAAAAAAGGGGAAAATATGGTTAGTATTCACCGTAGGATTTAACATTGTTATCCATCTCACGCATCAACAATTCATTTTAAACAACATAATTGTATTTCTAAGGATTTTTTTTTGTTTTTCCAAATTTTCTTCATATATATATATATATATATATATATATATATAATAAATAGATAGATAGATAGATAGATAGATAGATAGATAGATAGATAATATTAGTGGTTAATATACTGAAACAATGCAAAATGTAAATATATATACACAGGACAGAGTTTTGAATTTGTAGGTCTGATGATTGGATCGTATTTTGATTCCAATGGAATAAATTATGACCATGGAATATTGGCGTTTAAGCTTTTTATTATATATATATATATATATATATATATATATATATATATATATATATATAATGTGTGTGTGTGTGTGTGTGTGTGTGTGTGTGTTTGTGTGTGTGTATTTGTGTGTTTATGTACATATGTATATATGTATATGTATATATATATGTATGTGTATGTATGTGTGTGTGTATATATGTATATGTGTATGTATTAGCTGTTGGGTATGTGTGTATATATATGTGTGTACATATGTAGGGATTGAAAATATAAATATATGTAATATAGGATGTACATGTATGTGTATATATATATATATATATATATATATATATATATATTTATGTATAAATATATGGATGGATGATGTATGGGTAGATGGATGGATATATATACAGATGGATGTATATATTTAGATGTGTGGTATATATGATGTTTTGATATGTATGTACTAGTATATGAGTATATGTGCGTAGATATATGTGTATATATAGTTAGACGGATAGATATGAGCAGATACATTGTCTATTTGTTTAAATTCATTTTATGTACTGTATAGAAATGTAATATTTTAGTATATGTTTATGTGCACGTATGCATATGTCCGTATGTATATATGTAGGTAGTGTGTATATACATGAAGTACTGGATGCGGATGGATGTATGTGTGTATATATACAATATGTGTGTGTATGTATTTTGTAATTTTGATAGATATATATATATGTATATATAGATGTGATATATGTATATGTGTGTGTATGTGTGTATATATAAGGGTGTATATATATATATGTATGTGTGTATATATATATATATATATATATATATATGATGCATGTGTGTATGGATGTGTATAGACACGTATACATGTATATGTATGTGTATATATATATATATATATATATATATATATATGTATATATATGTGATATATGGATATATGCATGTGTGCATGTGTATATGTATATGTATGTGAAAAATAGATATGGATATAGATGAATATGTGTATCTGTGGATAGAATATATTTATATTTTCATATGTGTGTACATGGGTGATATGTGATCTGTATGTGGGTACAATGTGTATGTATATACGTGTATATGTTATTGCATTTAGTGTATTCGCATGTGTTTTTGATTAGAAAATCAATTTATTTTTTTATATGTTTATATTTGATTTGTAACCTGTAGTCGATATTAAATTTGTAAAATTTTCTCAATAAAGCGGCCCTTTAAGTAAATGCAATTTTACTTTTGCAGAAGTCTCTCTCCCCCCACCTCGTCTTTCCCTACCTCTTATTCTAACATTAGATTGTCTATGGTGTGTGTATGTCACCACGAAATGTATCTTTATGCATTAAACATTCGTCAACATTCATTTTTTTCTAGAGAAAAACCCTTGCCCCATCTCTTCTAACATTCTCTGTTGTTGGTTAATTTAACCGTCTCTCTAAATTCTGTTTTTATTTCCGGAGTTGGGTTTTTTTCTGTTTTCTTTTTGAATTTGTAAGTCTGATGAATTGGATCGATTTTTGATTCCAATGGAATAAATTATGACCATTGAATATAGTGTTTAAGCCTTTTATTATATCCTTACTCTGTCCTGGACATTGAGTTCTACCTGATTCTTCCTCTTGAATTTTTATTCAAAAAATATACATGTATGGTTGTTTTATATTTTGCATATGTATGTATATTTACCAGTAATATTATTCATCTATCTATATCTATTTATATATATATATATATATATATATATATATATATATATATATTCAAACACACACACATATATATATATATATATATATATATATATATATATATATATATATATGAATATTGAAGTTATCCTCCAGGCATGGCTGTTTCATGCTAGACTTTCTCAGGCCATGGTTAAGGTAAAAATCTTAATTAGGAGTCTAATTCATCAATTTTAATTTGAACATTTTTAGATGGATAATATTTATTAAAGTTTAAGTTTCAAATCAAGATGGAGTAAGATTTGAAGGAGATATTCATATAAATTTGAATTTATTACATTTCCAATTAATGAATAAACATACTTATCATATAATTAACTATACAGGTATAATAACTTATGCATTGATTTCTATCTATCCATTTTAATGGATAAAAAGTATTTGCAGAATACAAAAATGAATACTTAATCTTCATTTAAATACTTTGAATAGCATTTCACTTCTACAGCAACCAACCTCTTCTTGTAGTTCTTAATTAATGATCTGCAAATTTTTAGTTGGTATTTTGTTTCATTTTCTTTTGCATATCGTCTTCAGATCCGGGATGTTTCTTGGAGCTCTTAAATTGGACTTGAATTTTCAAATAACACCAAAGATTCTCGATTGTTTTCAAATGTGTGGCCTAACGTAGCAATTTCATGGTATTTACATTATTTTCAGGAAGCCACTTCTTCATAGATTTTGCAGTGTGCTTAGGATCCTTATCTTGTTGGAAGATCCAATTAAGATGACGTTCAATATTTTCAACCGAAATCATTAAATTTGCTTCCAAAATATTTTCATATACTGCATTCTTTCTACCATCAACTGACGCACTCGCGAAGTGTTATCAAAATATTTCCCAATTGTAAAGACTAAAGGGAGAATTGGTTTCATACTTCTTCCAAGTGATTTTGTACGAAAAGGAATACAAAATAAAGGGAAAATTGCAAGGGAATGTAGAATGGTAAAAATAACCAGAACTGAAAATATTCGATTCTTAGTTTCATCTTCGTAAACGTTATCCCACTCGTACTTCTTAAAGACTCGAATTTCAGACAAGCATATATTTAAATATTATTTCTCAACACTCCTTCTTCTACCTGCTACAGTTGTTACTACTGCTTCTGTTATAATATCGTTTAGCCAAAGCGGAACCCCTTTGCTTTTAACCGCAGTCTTTCAAAAAAATCTTTTATTTAATTTTCTATTACCTGACACTCCCCTCCTCGTTCCGCGATTCAGTGATACGAAAACAGACACCTGTTTTGTACACAAGGTAAGTACACATGCTTGATTAATATACTTATGTGGGTGTGGTTTTTCATTAATGCCAAGTTGTTCCGTCTATGCATCGATTCCGATGTCAAACATGTTTCACTGTTTGCCAGTAGTAGCAGATTTACTTAACGTCCATTCACTGTTCGTAATAAGTAATTAATGTTTAATTAAATAAGTTGATCATTTAACAATGATTTTTATTATTTGTTATTGTTCTAGTTGTATTTTCTTTTATTTGACTATGGATGCGCGCGGGTAGGCGTTTTTGTTAGCGATTGGATGTATGCCCGTTCTTTCTTTCTCGTATTTACAGACAGGGATTATGTATGCCCGTTCTTTCTTTCTCGTATTTACAGACAGGGATTATTTTACCTATTTTACTTTTTTTTAATTCAAAAGACTATCTTCCATTCCTTTGCAAGGATTGAGTCTCAGCAAAATCGTACCTGCTTTTTCTTCCTTGAATGAGTTCATTTTCGAAGGCCTTCTCTCATTAATTTGTTTCTTTTTTTCATATATTAGGTATAATTAATCTCCCCTATTCTCTCTCTCTGTCTCTCTCTCTATCTCTCTCTCTCTCTTTATATATATATATATATATATATATATATATATATAAAAGAGGTTATAGTAGTTCTAACGAGAGAAAAATGTGTATATTAAACAGAAGAGAGAAACCGGAAACGTGAATTTTTTTTAAAATATTACATTTTATTTTCCATAATTTTGCTACACACCTTTCCGGTCTCAATCAGGAAAGAGATTTCCACATATTATTAAAAATAATAATTTTTTTCCTTTGTTTTATGAGACATTTCTCTTTTTGTATTAGATCCAAACGTCTTTTCTTGAACTGGCAGTGAAAGATTGGTTTGAAAATGATGGAGTAATCCGCCATGCTTATAATGACCCTGTGTGTTCTTAGATCTTTTTTTATTTTCAATAAACCTTGTCAAATATATATATATATATATATATATATTCTTATTATTATTATTATAAAAAAAAGAAAGAACAGTAAGATATATAATCCGGTATTCTTATTGATATTTTTATTTTTCCAAAACAATGCTCAATGTAAATTTACAGAACATAAATATTATAAATGAACTGTTCCTCACAGTCACATGGCCAGGAAATCAGTTCAAATTGAAAACTTCATTTTGTCCCTGTCGATTCTTTTGTTCTAAAACGCTTAGAAAAATGTATATATATATATATATATATATATATATATATGATATACATATATATATATATATATATATATATATATATATATATATATATATATATATATATTAATTTCCTGTATCGTAATCAAATGCATATAATTATAAACAAGATGAAAATATACTAAAAAAATTGGTAAATACAAATATATCTACAACAGCAAAAATTTAGCATAAACTACACTAAATCTAGTATATCCAACTTAATTATTCGCAATGAATCATCCCTCTGCATCTAAGAATCTATTCCTCAACCATCTATCCTCACCTATCTATCCTCAATCTAATCTCTCATTTAATCTATCCCTCAGCAATATATCACCTGTCATCCATCTATCCCCACCATCTAAGTCTGAATCCCTCACTCATCTATCCCTCAACATCTAAGCTCTCACCCATCTATCCCTCACACATCTAAGAGCCATCTTTTCCTCACCCATCTATACAAAATCCCTCACACATTCACATCTTTCCATCTAAACTCTCAAATCCCTCAAAACATTTGCACTGTCCCTCCACATATAAAATCTCACCCATCTACCCCTACCCCAAAATGTCAGCACTCACCCATCTATCCCTCCACATCTGTCCATCACAAGCTCTTTTCTATCCCTCACAGATCAAGCTTAATAACACATCAACCTGATATGGGCCTCATTTTGTCCATTTCCCTCACACAGAATCACTCACCCATCTAATTATAAACTCTCACCCATCATTCCCACCAGTCCTCACCCATCTATCCTCTTTTCTATCCCTCAACATCTAAGAAAACAATAACCATCTGTCCCTCAACCATCTATCACTCAGAATCTAAAATCACCCATCTATCCCTCATGCATCCCTCACCCATTTCCCTCTTTGTCTATCCCTCAACATCAAACTCTCACTCATCTATCCCTCAGCATCTGAAACAACATTAGCTCTCATCCATCCTCCCTCACATAAGAAACCCATCTAAAAACTTGAACCATCTGTCCCTCAACCATCTATCCTCAGATTTTCCACATCTATCCCTCACACCCCTGAATACTCACCTGGATCACTCAGCTGTCAATCCCCAAAATATATCTCACGTCTATCCCTCCCCCATCTATCCCTCAGAATCTATCGCTTCAAACATCAATCCCTCACATCTATCAGGAAATGCTAATGATCCCTCTGATCCTCCCTCACAAATGCTCTCAATCTACAAACATCTATCCCTCACCCTTATGTCCTCACACATCTAAGCTCTCACCCATCTATACCACACTCATCTATCCCTCACATATCTAAGCTCTTACCCATCTATCACTCACCAACTATCCCTCACATATCTAAGCTCTCACCCATCTAACCCTCACTTATCTATCCCTCAAACATCTACGCTGTCACCCATCTATCACTCAACATCTATCCCTCACACATCTGTCCCTCACACATCTAAGCTCTCACCAATCTATCCCTCGTCAGCTCTCACCCCCCTATCACTTAGTAAACTATGCAACTCTCTCTTACATCAATCCCCCACCGATCTATCCCTCACATCAACTTTTATCAATCCCCTCCTTACATCTGTCCCGTCTAAGCACTATTATCCATGAAACTCACCCATCTGATTGTTCTAAAGAATTAATGGCCTCAAATAATCTGACCCTCACCATCTGTCCCTCACCCATCTGGTTCACCCATCTTTTTTTTCACACATTTGAGAACCATCTATCCCTCACCCATCCATCCCTTTAGTGTCAATCTCACCATCTATCCCTCACATTTAAACTCCCAGCTCTCACAAAATCCTCACCCATCTATCCCTCCTTTTGTTAGATATATCCCTCACCCATGTGTCCCTCAACATGATAGCTCCCCCCATCTATCCCTCACCCATCTATCCCTCACCCATCTATCCCTCACACATCTAATTTCCTCACCATCTATCACTGACTACCCCTCACATATCTATCCCTCACACATCCATCCTCAACAGTTGGCTCTCACTTATCATCCCTGAGATCTATCTCACATCCTTTCAGACACTATCCCTCACTCTCAAAAACCTTCTATCCCTCACCCATCTAAAGCTCTCACCTATCTAAATCTCAATTCCCCTTTAGCATAGCATCTATCCCTCAACCATCCTTTCCCTCACCCATTTTTCTGGCCCTCACCTATCTAGCTCTCACTCATCTTGGTCTAAACACGTTCAAAGTCTCAACCATCTATAACTCACCCATCTATCCCTCGCACTTATAAGCTCTCACCCATCTATCTTTCACCCATCTATCCCATCACCCATCCATCCCTCACACCTCAAGCTCTTGATCTTTCCTCAAAGACCATCTATCCCATACCCATCAGAAACCTCACACATTCTAAGTTCTCTGTGCATCCTCTCTCAATACATCTATCCCTCACCAATCTATCCCTCTTTGGATCCCTCACACATATAAGCTCTCACCTATCTATCTCTCATCTATCCCTCACCCTTCTATCTCAAGATCTAAGATCTCTTATATCCCTCACCATCTATCCTCAGGTGGCAGCTCTTATCTATCTCCCCCATCTTTCAGATCTTCCTCAGCTATCCTCCATCAAGCTCTCATCTCTCCCCCCCCATCTATCCCTCATATCTATCCCTCACATTTAAGCTGTCACTGTCTGATCAATCTATCTGGAAGCTGTCACCCATCCCTCACCCATATCTTTCAACCATATATCCCTCATTCATCTAACCTGTCACCCATCCCCTTCCCATCGAAACCCTGTTTTTTCGCCCATCCTAACATCTGATATCACCTCTTACATCTATCCTCTAACATTTTCCTCCATTTTCCCCCATCTATCTAAACTCTCCCTATTTAATCCTCACGTCTATATGAAGTCTATCCCCCATCATCTAATCCCTCCACCATTTACCCATCTAAACCCATAGATATAGATAAGAAAAGTCGAAAATGCTTTTGCGGCCACATATCTTTACGAAGAATTATTTCTATTTTCTGTGATATGTAAAGACAGAATAGAGAAATCGATTGGTTGTTGAATATGACATCAGCATAGCTCCCGGCATTAAAAAGGCAGGCATTTCAATGTTAATTAAGAGAATTTCTCTCATGCATTATATGGTTTTATGAGTGATATTTTGAGACAGATATGTTTTAAGTTTGGCTTTTCATTTGGTTATTTAAACTTTGTAAAATAGATAGATAGAAACTGGTTTAGATAGATAGATAGATAGATAGATAGATAGATAGATAGATAGAATGAAATAGAATGATACACACACGCATATATTTAAAAAAAAAAGAAAGAAAGAGACTGGGATAGATAGATAGATAGATAGATAGATAGATAGATAGATAGATATGAACTGACATAGATAGATAGATAGATAGATAGATAGATAGATAGATAGATATGAGGTGTTCAGAAACGTTACAAAACTACTAAGGTCAAATTTCAAAACCGATTCTAACAGTTGATCATTTGTTTAGATTTGGTGTTGAGGAAACTTAAACAATTCCCTATAAATACAGTAGATTTAATCAAGATAGATAGATAGATAGATAGATAGATAGATAGATAGATAGATAGATAGATAGTCTTCTGTTCCCACTCACTCATCCTCATGTCTTATCGCCTCCTTTCCATAGACTTCAAAATACACTTTTCCTTTCATTCAGCAGGGACTTTCATTTCTCATCTATCAGTAACCGCCTTTCATAGTCTGACACCAATGACTGCCTTGATCTGATACAGGAACCGTATTGATCCACAAAAACCAAATTATTTCAAACCCGTCAGTAGTGCAGGCAGGAATTTCGAGTCCTAATCTGTTGAATTTATTCTTAGACTATACTTTTCCCGTGTATAAATACATGTGCGTAGAATGGTTTTAGAATATTTTAGTTTATCTTGCCACATCCTAAACGGATCTAATGATAGAAAATAGAACTCAAGCTTTTCTTTCCAGAAGCCAGTGTACCGATGATGAAGGAGCCTATGCTGATGACATAGGCATTCATAGTTGATATATGAATGATGGGGGAGATAAAAATTAATGTTTTTTTTTTGGGGGGGGGGTCACAATGAAGTCCATGATGTAGGACAAGATAAAACTTTCTAAAACGGAAACTGTAATTTGGAATGGCAATGAGAATAGTGATTGAGCGTACCCTGAATTGAGGCTAATGGAAACATCACGTTGAAACGCAGAAGTTAAGCAACGGAAGAACCTATATGGGTGACCACTTGGGAATAGCAGGTTCTGTAACCTTAGATTTCCAGGTGGTGTAATGGATAATGGCTCAGAATTGTTAATTGGAGAGCTGAAGCTTGGTTTGTTATATTCACTTCACGCAAATACCATTGGAAAAGGCATGAACCCACCTTTTCTTCCCCCAGCTACTGATATAATTAGTAAGACCTGTACCATTAAAACCATTCTTACCTCCAAAAATAAAAAATAAAATTACGTACAAAATATTTAGATTTCGGCATTAAATAACCCATAGAAGTGTTGATATGCAACAAAAACACCCAACCAACCAATACACTGAATCCAACAAAAAATAGAAATTGTTGAAGTATTAAAATTTAAACAATTTAGATATTTAGTTGTATGGATCACTTATAAAAAATAGTATAGTAGTTCAGGAAATTGAACAAAAAACATTCTTTTTTCATAGCAAGCAAGGCAGCATAGCAACTAGCTCGCAAGGGATAATAATGTGTAGAAGAATTTGGAATAGAAAAATTAATAATGAGGAGAAAGAGAAAAGGGCAATCAAGAATACAGTAGATAGCGATTGGCATAGCATTTAAAGTTTTGCAGTTTAAAGTTGGCTGGAAAGAATGGAACTGGAAGGGATTCCCACAAACGAGAAGTGCGAGATAAGAAACCATTAACATAGAAGTTGCTGCTACATCTAGCTAGCTCTACTGTAAATTGATGAGATCTTTCCTCCAATCTCATGTTGTGCGTAAACGATTACCATGAAAGTATTTGTAAAAAAGGCACAGAGAGGCAACCTTACGACGATCTCAATTCATTTAAGCCGAGCCACCAGGTTAGGACCAATAATATTTCTGATTCTTCTTTGGATCTTATCAAGAATCTCCAGGAAATTAGTAGAGGCTTCGTACCATACTTGGCAGAAATATTCTAACCAGGGCGGAATGATAGATTTATAGATATGCAAGAAAATTCCAGAGAGAAAAATTATTTTGACCGACACTGTGAACTGACTTTCTTAGCAGCTGATCCAGTTGAACTAGAGATAGTTTTGTCCGACAACGTAAGATGCTTCAAAGCTAAAATATTAACTGGAGAATAATTTATGTTTTTAAATATTCTCGTCGTATCAAGATTCCCATAAGAATGTTGTACATGGACTTCAATTCATTCAGATAAGTCTAAGCTATCATATGTAAACAATCGTTTTTTCTTCTTCTGATCAATGGATGAAAAGGCTTCAAAAGATTAAATCCCATAAACCTTAAAAATATCGATCTTTCCTCAGATCTTATAAACTGGCGCTACAATATTACAAAGAGATTTACCAAATAACAAAAAACTCCATCACTTGAAGACAAAACTGAGTTGCACATATAGGTTTTTGTTTTAGGGCATATCAACACCTCAATGGGTCATTTAATGCCGATAACTTTTTTTCCTGGTAATATTTTTGTTTTGTCAAATATGTATTTCTGGTAATATTTTTTTTTTACTCGAGATTGTATAGCTGGTAATATTTTTTTCAAAAATATATTGCTGGTAATAGTTTTTTTCTTCAAAAATTTATTTCTGGTAATAATATTTTACAAAGTATTTCTGGTATTAAAAACTATTTTTACACTTTCATAATGCTTTTTACTTCAGTTTCGGGGTTAACTATTTGCCCATAGCTAGGAACCTAACAGGTGCTACCACCCCGGTTCCTTAGAACATCAGCAATTAAGAGGTAGTTCCACGCTCCTCAGAGCCACCTGATCAGAGGCCTTGCTGTTGGACGTAGTTTATCGTCTTACCCAGGACGCGGATGTAGTTTATCGTCTTACCCAGGACGCGGATGTAGTTTATCGTCTTACCCAGGACGCGGATGTAGTTTATCGTCTTACCCAGGACGCGGATGTAGTTTATCGTCATACCCAGGACGGCACATATAACAAAACAGATAATAATATGAGCAAGCTGTTAACTTTCTATATACATTTCTTTGGAAGCAATCTCCCATCGATACAAGAATGACATATGGTAATGGATATGAAAATTTTCATTTCTTAAAAAATGTTTTCAGAAAAAGAATTTATAAATTTCAACCGAGAGTAACAGGTTTTGTTCGTTCATTGAATGTAGAATGGTTCCTGGGTGGGGTAACACTTACCAATGGGGGGCAAAGATAATAATAATGTTCTCCACATCCAAGGTTCAAGAGCCGCTCGTCTGAGAGAGTTACTGAAGAAGAAAGTGTAATAGATAAAAGGCATATGTTCGGTGGGAAAGGCATAGGTTCACACTAGTCTTGATTAGGTTAAGATTACTTCATACGAATTGTTAGTTTCATCAAGTTTTCTATAAACAAAGAAAAATGACTGCCGTCGATATAACAAATGATGTTAAGCAAAAATATCCTTTGAAAATAACCAAATGATAGAAAATGGGTGACATGTGTGGGGTGGGTGGGTGTTTTTGTGTGTGTGTGTGTGTGTGTGTGTGTGTGTGTGTATGTGTGCAAAGTGAGACAAAGAGAGAGAGTGAGTATTCGTAGTAAGCGAGTTTTTATATATGTATTAAAGTTATGAGATATTAATGTAGAGTTTTAATTAACTTCTTTTATTTTTTTATTTTTTAATGTAGAGATGTAATTAACAGTTTTTAGTATACATAATCAATTAAATTTGAAAACTGGTGTGATTAATAAGCGTTTATAAATATATGATCTGTCAATAATAATATTATCTGACTCTGATGAATGACAACATCATGAAAATTTTAATCGATCACATATATGTATGAAGTGTGCATGTTTTATTTATCTATAATAATAATTAGTAGACGTAGTAGTATTTTTGACAAACGTTAAATTACATCAATTTACGTATCTAGGTTGATGCGATTATTATTATTATTATTATTATTATTGTTGTTGTTGTTAGTGTTGTTGTTGTTGTTGCTGCTGCTGTTGTTTTTTGCCTTTGCTTTCTGTAGTACTAGCTTCCCCCAAGTATCAACCAGAAACTTCAAACGACATTAGGGTTTTTTTTATATGATGTATATAGATCAGTTGCAATGCAATCAGAAAATATATGTAATTGAGGTCAATACATATAGAGACATTTACGCAGTTCATTATTATATAGATAGATAGATAGATAGATAGATAGATAGATAGATAGATAGATAGATAGATAGATAGATATGAACAGACTAAGATAGATACATAGATACATGCATAAATACATATGAACAGATTAAGATATATATGAATAGACGAAGATAGATCGATAGATAGATATGAACAGACTAAAATAGATAGATACATACATACATATGAACAGACTAAGATATATATGAACAGACTATGATAGATAGATAGATAGATAGATAGATAGATAGATAGATAGATAGATATGAACAGACTTAGATAGATAGAAAGATATGGACCGACTAACATTTGAACAAACCAACATAGATATGAACAGACGAACAAAGATATTTTGAAATGAACAGAGTGACATAGAAAGATAGATAGATGGATAGACAGATAAAGAGTTCGATTATGTACCTTCTTACTCTGATTTTTTGTAGATACAGATCTTCATATTTCGCGTAAGATAAATCTATTGAATTTATATATATATATATATATATATATATATATATATATATATATATATAACATTTTGAGCTATTGATTTTAATTTCAATATATTTGTTGTCATTTTTTATAAGTAGATAGTTCTATATTTTTCACTTACTTCAAAGTCTCTACTTGAGCCCGGATTAAATCCACGATTTGAGAGGATGCCGGAAGGGATTTGAGCGAAAAGCCTTCATATTCGTTCGAAGCTGCTAATATTTTCATCTAAAACATTGAACGTACCAAAAGAAAGCCGCTGTACCGATCGAAATCTTGCGGAGCCATTGCTTGACGCACATATTCACAGTTTCAATATGTAGAGGCAATATTTGTTCCCCAATCATCAACGTAAATATTATAATCTTTTGATATTTAATTATGCTGCAAGCTTTTATTTCATTAACTTTAATGGAAATTTAAACCTATCGGATGTTATATTTGTATTGCTTTCAATTTAATTTACATTAAATTCATACATACATACATACACACACACACACACACACACACACACACACACACATATATATATATATATATATATATATATATATATATATATATATCAATATCAAGAACAGCAAAATTGTCCAAATCGTCTAAAAGCAAAATTGTCTATTTGTTAGATTAAGCTTTGAACCGTTGTTTCTTAGAAATGATTAAAGATATTTTACTGGAATTCTCCGAGGTTTTTATATCAGTATTGGACTCTACTTTAAGTTATAAGAATGTATAATTACACCTCGAGCTTAACAGAAGAACTGTGATGAAATCGAATGTAAGTGAAAAGGACATGTTCCTCATTAATCAATCATAGCTAAGGATCGGAAGCTTATGAAGGATTGAAATTAAGTTCAAATACACACACACACATACACAGACAGAGATAGATAGATAGATAGATAGATAGATAGATAGATAGATAGATAGATAGATATTATTCAAGGATCATTGTGCAACTTATTCAAGATAATCTTTGCCTTCTATAACCATCTAATTTTCTGTCCTGAAGTAATAAGGTGTCTTAAATGTTTCACGTACGATTTCATTTTCAAGTCTTTTTTCACTTCTCTTTGGACTGCCATAGCTGAAATTCCCGTTTCACGTGCCAAGCGTCTTATAGACTGAGTTTTCACAGATTTTCTGATGTACTGAGAGCATTAACATATAGCTAGTTGCCAACCCAGTGACATCTAACTTCTTGAATTTAGCTAGATGTGCTGTAGATGGAAATCTCACAAACGTCACGGATGTACGCATGTTGATGCAAGCAAAGTTTTCTTTGTCCGCGTTGTCCTGGACGTCGTCAGAAATGAGGGTCCTTTCATACCACTCCACATCTTTCTGGAGGGTCTCGGTTTAATGGTACTGCTTACATTGTGGTGGACACGGTGATCAACTCCTTGGTAGAGGATCTAGCCATATATATTCCGGCAGAAATGTGCGTAAATCTTTCTGCCAATCTCAGATCTAAGCAGTCATCGCTATAGGTAAGCTGATAAACTACTAATCAACAATGGCCCATTGCTTGGCACCAATCATCTGATATATGAAAACTGGGGCCCTTATTGAAATTACACAGCTAAAAGATTTCGCTATGTCGATGTAAGCTGTAGGCAAAATCATTGCCTTTTTTTATTAGATCGATAATAATAAATTAACGTTAAAATGTTATTAATGGTCATGTACCGTTAACAAATTTACAGCTTTAGTGTATATATGCTTATATATTTATATACAGAGGTGTACTGAAGAGGGTGTTGTCCAACTATGTAAGTAATAGAAATCTTGTGTCATTTGTTCAAGTTTTGGCAAGTGAGTTGGGCTGAGAACTTTTCAGCAAAATTTCGTATATGCTTACTAATAATGAAAACATTTATAGCGTTAATATGGAAAAACAGTAAGCAAAGATTCTTCACTTTTGGTTCGTCTAAATCTTTGGCTAGAACAAAAAATTAACAGTTTTTTTTATTGTTAAATCGTTACGGCCAACTCAGAAATGACTTTCTCTTTTGTCGAAACAATTTAAGGTAATAAAAACATAGACATTATTTTATTGGCATCGTTACGAACGTAGAATGAACAGCTCTCCCGATAGTGGGTTACCTACCTGAGGAATTCGTGTGAATGGATTCCAGAACTAAGAAAATAGTGTGTTAAAGAATTAAAAGTAACTGAGAGAAATGAAACTCAAAATAAACATAATCGCCTACGTCCTAGCAGAAAAGACATATAGAGGGAGAAGATGGCTGCGGTTAGTACAAACGTTAACGAAATCAATCGATTTTACCTAGGAAAACATGGATTCTAGATTTTATAACTTAAGTAGAATTATGAGAAAAAGTTTAAAATAACAATTTGACATTTGGCAAATTGCTTATCCAATTCCGTTTATATTACAATTTTAAGCAGGAATATACATGTGCAAGAGATGAGCTTTCTGGCAATCGTCTCAGAGTAGCACTTTACTATCAGTTCGTAAATTGATATCGATTGTTTATGTAGAATACTCTTGCATAAAAAACAACAAGAACAGTATAGGTGATGAGTTATATATTATAAGCCTACTTTACAGGACTAAATATCTTTATGTATATAGTTAAGTAGATTTCATGGATATTACCATATATAAGTAAATAGCAGCAGAACCAGGTGAAATTATAAGAGAAATGTTGGCAGCTTTACACGATTTCGCTTTTGACGTAATTACACAAATTATACATTAATTATAAGCAAGTTGTGACACTATGGAAGACCTTAGTCGATCCATTTTCATAGTGCTGCCTAAGAAGCCAGGTGCAAATGTAAGTGAGCTCCATCGCACGATCAACCTAATGAAACACAAAATGAAACATATTTATCCGACTTCCGATAAATTACGCGCGTAAAAGAATTAGGCCGGAAATAAAACAAGAACAGTACGGGTTTGTTAAAAGACACCTGAACAACGAATGCGATATTTATGCTAAGACAATTGTAAAAAGATATGTACTTGTGTTTTATACATTATGCAAAATCGGTTGATATGGTACGATGCAAAAAAAAACAGCTTGAACTTCTAGGACAATTTGACTTTGAAATATATTAGAATAATCCAAAAATATACTGCTACTAAAACGACTGTATACGGATAGAAAATGAATTCAATAAAAACAGAAAAATAGAAAAAGACACGGCCCATAGAAGTAGATGTATAAAGACTGGATATTGCTAATGCTTATTCGAGCACAGCCCCATCTTTCAGATCGTTATGTATGATTCAATAGGGAATAATGCTATCTGGACACGAAAAAAGAAACTTGTTCCCTTATGCTGGTTATCATTCCAAACAGGGACTCCCTACGTAGGTGGCTGACGCAACGCATTCTTCATACATTTATTTCTCTGTATTTGGTTTTGCCTAGAACCAAGCTGTTTGGAAAGTATCTTTATATATATATATATATATATATATATATATATATATATATATATATATATATATATATATATATATATATATATACAGATTTCTTTGAATTTCACACGATTGTACTGATGCATTCCCGATGCATGATGGTGCAATGCCGGAAAATCGGAGAGCCGTATAACACTGGAAACTATTCTAGAAGGAAGATTCTAAATTCAAAGCAGGCTGAAGAAGGTTGGGATCCATCGGGCTATCTTGCCCAAGAAGGAGCACTGATGCTTTGATTGTAGTGGCGATCTTACAATCTTCAAGGGTTACGGAAACGTGATCGTGATTCTCATTAGAAGCTGATCTCATGAAATAAAAATGAGTTGTTTTGAACTACAAAATTTATAACGCTATACTTTGGTTGAAATATCACATTATTAAGCCCAGTAAGGAAACGTTGATGTTTGACAACGATCTCGGAATTAATTTATTCTGTCTCGATAAAACCTGGAATCACTAGTGTTGAAAAACTGCACGAAGGTATTTTCAATATCTTTCACATAAATGTACAACTGACACGTAAATCCTTTCAAAACTTACCAACACTGGAAACAGTTCGGTGAACAGGGCAAGTGTGGAAGGAAATCGATACGTAAATGCCGGTTGATTTGTGCATTATGAGACCCTGTTTTATCCTACTGCAGAATAAGTACATTTACCTTCACCAATGCTGGGTATAAATGTTTGATAGAGTTTATGTACCAATTCCACACCATAACATTAGAACGAGGTTTGACCAAGTGAAAGAGGAACTAGTTGAGTAAACTCTTGTAGGCCATACACCACTAGATATTCAAGAGGTTCTTTTCTGGGCGAATATCTGTTTTCGGAGTGGTAAGAAAATGTGTCAACCCAAAGAAAAACACGTCTAAGTGTCTGTTTCTACTCGAGTCTATACCACCGTCGTCAGATCATCAAAATCGTGTACTGACTTTCGGTCACTACAAACGGAAAATTGAATATCTAGATCGCAAGGAGCGATTCTTTTTTAATTTGTGGGACCAGTGATAAGCACTCTTTTCTGAATCTGACTCCAGACCCCAGTGGTTCAGCAACTGAATTGTCTAGGTTCGACGCCTGAAGATCTGACTCTCTGCTGATTACGTTTCATTATTATATCTGAATTACCATGTATTCTTTGTAAATATAGTGGAATTTTTTCCCTTTACCTTCTCAACAGTCTTGAGTTCAGAGTTCTCTTTTTCTTAGATTGGTTGCCATGAGTGTCTATAAAGCCTAGGCTAATCTCCTATTTAACCGATAGCTAGGAGAACAGAAATGGATCCAGGCCTTTCTAAAGGCTATTTGTCCGAAAGTAAACATAGCTAGCTAGCTAGCTAGCTAGTTAGATAGATAGATAGATAATGAAATGACTAAGATTAGATAGATAGATAGATAGATAGATAGATAGATAGATAGATAGATAGATAGATCGATCCAAACATGACCAGTTTACTTTATCAAGACTCTTTTAAATGAAGCTACATTCTAAACGCCGGGATTGTCCTCAAATAATAATTCAGATTATTAAGTGATCTGATTTCTTGACATAGGGAAAATAAAAAATTAAATGCATAAATAATTATCTCTATCTATAAAAGGCAGGATATGTGTGTGTGTGTGTGTGTGTGTGTGTGTGTGTGTGTGTGTGTGTGTGTGTGTGTGTGTGTGTGTGTGTAACGAATGCACGGCAGCAATTTTCGACGGATTTGCACCAAAATTTACAAGCACATGTTCCAAGTTAGCGGGAAGGCCAAGACCGACTTTGCATTTCCCAACTCCCGTCGATAGTGGAAATAATCGATTTTTTCATGCTTCTTGCGGCCATTTTGTACTGGCCAGAGTGAGAGCCTATAGCTGGCTGCTACGAATAAGCAGGAAGATTCTATTGGCCAGCGTGAGAGCCAACAGCTGACTGAAACGAATGTTAACTAGCATGCTAGCATGCAAAAAAAATCGATAGCTGCATTCGTCACAAGTGGAAAAAATTTAAATCTGCATGGCACTTTACTCCAGTTGGCTCATTCGCTTGCTTAAACTCAACGTTGATTCTGATTCTGCAGAACTGGGTTGGGTGTGAAAAAGTATTTGTTATTAACATTTTTTTTCATTCGGTTTTTCCAGTTACGAGTCCTTTTTTTAAAGCTGATCGTTTTGTGTTCATTTTGTTTAGTTCTTTTTTCGTAACACATTTTATTTTTAGTATAGAGCTTAGAAAAAATTCGCAGTGTGATATAGGCAAGAAGTAAAACATGTAGCAACATCAGCACGGCAAAGGGCACTCCTTTAAAGGCAAGGAAGGGCAAAATATTCTAAGTCAAGTGATAGCGATTGCTGTATGAGTCGTACGATTTTTGAACCAAGCACGGGCAACGCCGGGCCATGCTGCTAGTAGAATTTATATAAATTAAAATTTCAATTTTTACCAAAGATTACACGGTTTACATTCAGGGCAGACAAGTTTTCTGCTTTATAATTACTCACCCCTACACACAGGGAAACGTGAACGACCGTTAACATATATATATATATATATATATATATATATATATATATATATATATGTGTGTGTGTGTGTGTGTGTGTGTGTGTGTGGTGTGTTATTTTCCTGACATAACCGGTTAACTTTTTCCTATTTCTATGCGAATGGCATTTACCAAATTGATTTTTTTTTCATAAGAAACAGCAGACAGGTGTGTTTACTAATTGCAATGTGTGTACATAAGGTGTACAAACACACGCACATATTCATTTACATACACACACACACACACATATATACGTGTGTGTGTATATATATATATATATATGTATGTATGTATATGTAAGTGTGCATGTATATTTCGGATTGCATTTATTTTTGTGATGCATGTGGTGTGTACACATACGTATATATTTTTACATATATTTTATATATATTTACTTGTGTATATTTACTCTTGCTTATATAAATATATATGAGATATTTGTGTGTTTCCTTTTTTTATATTAGCTTTTTTTATTTTAAGTTTTGTATTTTGCCTGAACATTTAAATTTGTTTTTTTTTGTTTTTTTATGTGTGTGTGTGTATGCGTATCAATTTTTCTCTCTCCATTTCTATACATTTAATTGTCTTTTTTCTTTGCGTTGTTCATTGCCGAATATTTATTTTCCGATACTCCCCCTCTTAAATTCGATCTATTGAACCCTCTTTTTATATACATATCTTCGCCCATGTAAGTAATATTTTAATAGTCTATTTGAATTTGTTTAGTAACACTTTCAAAATTGAATCTTCGTACGTGTGTTTATGTGTGTGTCTTCATTAATGTATATGTGTATGATCGGTTATATATGCCCTTTATTGTATGTATATACTGTCTGTTTTTTTTTGGGGGGTGAACATCTATTTCATGTTTCGTTCGTGTTTTTACGCGTTTATATAAATATATATGTCTACGTATTTGTGTATTATAATCTGATTGTGTATGCCATTGTCTTTTGCAAGATTTCACCCCCCTTCCCATATCATCACTTCAAATGTGTGTAATTTGCAACGATGTTTTACATCCACATTAGATTAACATTTATTCTGAGATTTTGACTTTTGAATTAAAACAAAATAAATAATAAATTATATGTATTTTTCCTCAGTTTCTTCTTTAAATAATTTTACAATATTTTAAACTTAATAAAGACTAAATTTAAAATTGGTAATTTTTAATTTTCATTTTCATAGTAAAGTGTGAAATTAATCAGTTAGAATGATTTGTTTTAGTCTAATCTTAATATTAAGGCATTAATTATAATAACCATGGCCCGTTGTCAAGTTTTTTGAAGTTTCATATACTTGTATTTTGATTGGTCATTGCAGCTTATATAACATCGTTTCCCCTATCGAGGGGTATTTGGTCGATTTTAACCTTTTAAAACTCTTTATTCTACATTCAACTCCATCACTTTAAGCGTTGAAACAAAATGGCTATTTTTGTAGTGATTTTATAACATTTGTTTATGTTAGAATTTCCGAATAAATTATATATATACACTTATATATATATATATATATATATATATATATATATATATACACACACATACATACATATATATGTGTGTGTGTAAAGAAGGAGAAACAACGAGAAAGAAACAGTCATCATAGACATCAACACAACACATGTTGTTTGTCAGTTTCCCGCCTAAATCAAGCCAAGTGCCACTAACTATTCTTTTAGCTCCCTCTATATATATATATATATATATATATATCGGTCAGCGACAGCTAAAAGTAAAGTTGCCCCCCCTTCCAGTTCTTAATGTCTTCTAGACCTTTAGATTGCTTATTTACATATATATTCATATATTATTTATTATCTTCTCCCTTTATGTATTTCATATATTTTTTATTGGTATATTGATTTTGAATTGTTTGTTAGATCCTCACATCTGTCACGTCGTTCGGATACTACATTTCTATGCTGTCATCTAAGGACGTGTGATAAATGTGTAATTAGTGACAGGTGTGTCGGGTAACTGCCCGAGTTCATCTATTATGGGTACAAGATTTGGATCCACAAGATTTTACTATGAAAGACTTACATACACTCAGATATGTCACCAGTTTAACTGTCGTCATACTAGAATTTAGGTATTGATATGGAATTTACACCATACCAAAATCATATGTCCGTCTTTACCAGATTTTTGCCCGTTTTTATATCGCATTTATCTGAGAGTTGATCAAAATTAGGGTTTTTGGTTTAGTTTGGTTTGTTTTACAGCATATCAACCTCAATGGGTTATTTAATGCCGACAAAAATTTTATTTCTGGTAATAATTTTTCTTCAAAAATGTATAGCTGGTAATGCCTTTTTTTTTCAAAAATGTATTGCTGGTATTTTGTTTAAAAGTATTTCTGGTATTAAAACCAATTTTTACACATACGAAGTGTTTTAACCACAGTTTGGGAGTTAACAATTTACCCATACTAACAGGTGCCACCCCCCCCCCCGGGTTGGGGTGGACCTGGAAACACCAGCAGCTAATAGGTGGTTGCACGCTCTTCAAAATCTCCTGATCAGAGGCCTTGCTGTTGGACTTAGTTTATCGTCTTACCCCGGACACGGATGTAGTTTATCGTCTTGCCCAGGACGCGGATGTAATTTATCGTTCTACCCGGGGCGGTCAAAAATCGGGATATAATGTATAAAGATCATTGAGAATGATTTCGAAACAACAGGATTTTATCATCTATCTTTAAAGGCTGTTTGTTTGTTTTTTTTTATTCGTCACATAATTATTTATCACTTCCTAGCATGTGATCAGATTATGCCTTCGTTAAAATATCGAATGGTAATTTAGGTTTAAATATATTACATATTATATGTCCATTAGGCGTATCCACTTGATTTAGACAATGTAGTAATTATATGTCGCTATGTTGATTAGAAATATCAGGATTATAGTCGACTATAGCGTAGCCACCGAAAGCGTTATTATGATTTGCGTCTTTTTGTCACTTGCCACTCTTCTCAATTATCCATTTTGAATTATCATTACATTCAAATTTAGATTTAACATTAACAAGTATCAGATGATTGTATCTTAAAGAAGCTATGATATTTTTATATCAATAGAAAGCATTAAATTATGTCATATTAAACCATGTTGAATTCTTCTTTATCCAGTTGTAACCAAAAGTATCCTTAGCTCTTTGCAATTTTCATATCCGTATTGTTTAGCAGTTTATCAACATGAAAATCGTTCTTGATAGTTCCATCAGGAATGTATATGTCTGTTTGGTACTTAAAGTATTTATTTGGTAATTCGTTGTTTTGTGTGTATGTAAGTAATTATTACCACTTATTTTAATCCCTAAAGATCTCCCTGAATGGGAAGAACATCAATTCACTGATTTCTTAAAATGTTCTGGGTGGAGGTAATCTAGAAGATGCCTCAAAGATGGCCAAAGGTAATAATACAAAAGGCTACATATGTGACGGGATAAATCTAGATCACGTGTCAAAAAATGGAGGCACCCAAAATAAAGTCGATTTTTGTATTTTTACCTAGAGAAGTAAGTAAAAGAATTCGTTTATTAGTACAGGGTATTAATATAGGTGTACATATGTACATTATACAAGTCCAAAAATGATTTAGTATTTTGTTGGATAACCTTTCCGCTTTAATAACAGCCTTAATTCGTGGCATGCTATGGACTAAATTATTTAGAAAGTCAACGTCCTTTGCCAGATTTTTTTCTGCATTTCTTTAATTCGCAAAAAAGCTCATCTTATGTGTAAACTTTCCTATTACGGACACGCTTGTCCATTTTCGCCCAAATGTTTTCAATTGGGTTAAGGTCAGGACACTGAATAGGCCACTGGAAGAGTTACAATTTACCCTCGTTGTGTTTTCCCTGAAGATAACTTTTATCCTTTAAGGCAGTATTTATAGGACCGTTATCGTATTGGAACGTGCAGCTTTGACTTTGGGCAAAAAGTTTTTAGCAGAAAGCCACATTTGATTAACAAGAAACCCACATTTGATTAACAAGAAAGCCACATTTGATTAACAAGAATGTTGTGGCATTGATGCTGGTCCAAGATTCCCTTGATTTTATACAAATTACCAACTCGTGCTACTGCTGGGAATGAACCCCCAACGTTGATTTTGTTTATCGTGTTTAGCAGTGCCTTTGGTAGTCACTGGAGTATTCCTTTCACCGGACATACACCAAACACTTATTAGTCCTTTATATCTAACCGAAAAGAGGCTCTCGTCACTCCACATAACATCTTTCCATATCAGATTAAGTTCAGTGTAAATGAGCTTTCCAATAAACCAACTGTGCCCGTCGATTTTTTCCAGATATGAAAGCTTCCTTTTTTTTATTTATTTGAAAACAATTCATTTTGCTTTAAACTTTCGTCTGACTGAAAGTTCAGTTTTGTTTCTACTTTACATAAACGATCTGAATTCCTGACAACTGACAACCCTTACTTTCAACGCAAAAAAAAGATCTCTGGTGAAAACTGGCTGGTTACATTCAGTGCCTCGAAAATTAAAACTAGGGACGTTCCAAACCCATTGAGTCGACTCTGAATTCTGCTCTTTCGCGGTGAACTGGTTTCCCTTCGGGAAGGCTTCGTACCTTGAGCGCCTATTGGAACAAGCTCAACCCAGACCCCAAGAGGATCAACTACAGACGACCTATCGCTAATGATGCTTGAAAGATGACCAGACACTTGTACCGCTCCAGTAAGTACCTAGCTCCTCCTTCTATCCCCTACTTTTCCAAAAGCGTCTACAAGGCGTGGTGGGTGATGAATTATTTCCTACGGAGAGAACGTTATAAACCTCTCGCTGTTCTATCGATATTTCCATGGAACGTGTTCTCAACGAACCTTTGTTTTTACATCTGAATATTTTTCTCATTCCCAGAAAAAAAAGCTTAAGGAAAATTTATTATGCTTCTAAAAATCTTCATTGACCTGAAATTTTTATAGACGTACATCTTCCATTAAACTCATGATGCAAACACGTGAAAGAATGTCTCATGTATGAATTTGACCATCTGAGGCAATTCAGAAAATTTCGATTCGGTATTATCCTTTACGTATTCATAACATTAACACAAACACAAATCCCTAGGAGGGTCATTATCATTGACCTGTTGAGATAGTCAAGAAAATTGCAATTGCATAAACACGAAGGCTAACCGTTGTCGTAGGATTCTAACTATCCAATTACACCATTTACTACTTTACTATGGTTCAGTATCTATCTATCTCTTGATATATATATATATATATATATATATATATATATATATATATATATATATATATATATATACGCTCTATCCAGACGGACTTAATCACAAATTTAAGAATATAGATAAAATTAATATATAACCCCACAAAACAGGATCTACCCACATTTCGCACCCACACAAGAGAGACATGCCTGCGGAGGTGTTGATGCCTCACACTTATACACACACCCATACTAATATACACACTTACACACATCATACTCACTCACTCCCTAACAAGCAAATAAGACACATCCCCTTTCCAGGAACCAATAAAACTGTCAAAATGACCAAGGGAATTCATAGCAGCATGAATCCATCCAGCTAGTATCTTAAATAACAACTTAAAATAGACTGACCAACACAAGACCTGACCAAAATGCATGTTCTAAAAAATAAAATAAAAAAATAAAAAACATATGAAGAGTACAGACTAAAGTTCATTTTCTTCAACAAGACATTCATTTCTTTAGTTCACTGCTACTAACAAGCAGATTTTTTTTTCTCCTGATGATGACCAGGTGGCCGAAACTAGTCGAGGAATCTAACTAAAATAATAAAAACGAAAGAGTATTAATATACAATCCAGTATGTCTGAAGATTTTATTTTTTTAATATTTTTTATTTTTCAAAAGATATATATATTTATATATATATATATATATATATATATATATATATTATAAATTAATTGATTTAAAATATGGTTTTTTTTCGCTACACAGTTCCAACCATGTTTCAAAAATAGAAGCTAAAAACCCCGAATTTAATTTTGCAATTAAATTAAAAGCATTAGTTCCATTTCATCTTCAAGCGAATCCAAAAACGTATTTTTATCTGATAATACCTAATTCAGAGTTCAAACTTTACAATGTAAAAGTCCGGCAATGTCATCGGACAGAGGTTAGGGAAGATGGTCCATACCTATCATAAAGGGGAGAAGGTATATTAAATGATATCAGAGATTATTAACCCTCTGAAGACAAGTTTGGGCTAGTATAACGACATGGAAGGATTAACGGAAAGAGAACTCGAGGAATATTCTAAATAGAGGAAAATTTTATAAATTATAATAAATATAACATAAAAAGAAAGAAGGAGTTACGGGAGATGGGCGCGGGAAAGTGATTTGGGGTAGCTAAATAAGGCACAACTGTATTATGAAAGTTTGAATCTGTTTTCGTGTCAGCATTTGAAAACTAATTCGTTACTCTGATTCAACAGTCGGCCTTCATTAGTGTATTTTATTGTTTTATTTTTCTTTTAAGCATAAATTACATCTACCTCTAAAACTGTTAGGAGTTTGTGCAGAACCTATATTTTTCCAAAATATTTGGGGGTTTAATTTTTTTTCCTTTTATTCGCAGAATTTTTTTGAAAGAGGTGCTTGGTGTTTAAATTTAGGGACATAGAATGAATGCTTATGAGTATAAAACCTTTGTTTCCAATCCCCGGCGAAAATGCCAATGTAAGAATTCTTCTTTGGGGAAATGGTCGCTTGATATACAACCTTGTCAGATTTGCATTTGCCCTCTACTGTGTATTTATCTTTAGATGAATGTCCAGTAGAGGGTAAATGCATTTTTAGAGGTACAGTGCCCCGCAAATTTCTATAACACATTACAAAAAATATTTTTAAGTATTTCTAATACCGTTACATTAATTAAACTTTTACCGTTTTTATATTTAGACATTCAGTCAAACAATCAGAGTTTTAAAAAATGTATCCCACAAAGAAAAAAATGATATTTATTAACTCAAAAGGTTACAAAATATTTTTTTTTATTTACAACAGCTTTTTTTAATAAAAGTGTTCAAATTTTACTAGAATGTTCCAAATTAAGTTGTTTTTTTTAGAATGTTCCAGATTAATTTTATGATTACTTTTGGAATAATTAAAAGTATTGCGTCATTCTTTGTCGGTTAACCATCCTTTAAACATTGACAAAATGGGGAAAAGCAAAATAATTAATCAACACCTCCGTAAACGTATTGTTGACCTTCACACAAATGGATTTGGTTATAGGAAGATATCGAGTAGGTTAAATGTAGCAATGAGTTCAGTTTGTAAGATAGTTCGTTACCGAAATACGTGTCATTCCATTTATCCTCCAGAAAGCTCTGGTTGTCTTAGAAAGGTAACGAAACGTACAGATAGATTATCGGCGAGAAAAGTTGGCAATGAACCCCGAATAACGCTTAAAGAACTTCAGGGAGGACTAGAAATAAGTGGAGTAAAAGTGAGTACGGATACCATTAGTCGTTCAGTTTGTCAATATGACATCTTTTCAATGACTCCAAGGGAAAAAAAAACAATTCTTAGGCGAAAACACGTTCTTGCTAGACTGGATTTTGCAAACGAGCATTGTATCAAACCTACAGTATTTTGGGAAAATATACTTTGGTCAGACGAAAATAAAATTGAAAGTTTTGACAGAAATGCTATGGCAAACGTCTGGAGAATGAAGGGTACTGAATATTCGCCGAAGAATACTATAACAACAGTAAAATTTGAGGTGGATCAATCATGATATGGGGTTGCTTTAGTAGCCAAGTTCTAGGGGGCACTGAAATAATAGAAAGGAGAATGAATGGAGCATATTATAGGGTTATTTTGGAGATAAATTTACTTCAGAGTGCAAATTTGCTGGGCTTGAAACCAGGTTGGATCTTTCAAAAAGAAAACAATCCTAAACATACTGCAAAGTATACAAAATCAAGGTTCAAATAGAGTAGACGTTCTAAAATGGCCAAGTAAATCTCCAGATCTCAATCCAATTGAAAATTTATGGAGAGAGCTGAAATTGAGAATTCAAAGATAAAGCCCGCAAAACCTGCAGGAATTAAAGGAATTTTATCGTGAGAAATGGAAAAATATTAATCTATAATCATGCAAGAAATTCGTAAGAGGCTACATTAAATGCCTACATGCTGTAATTAACAATAATGGTCACGCTATGAAATATTAATAGATGATTTAATAAATGTATTATCAACTTTTGCATTATTAAATATTGGTTTTTCTTCGTGGGATATTTTTATTAATTATTTTTTAAAATATGATTGTTTGACTAAAGTTTTAAACATATGTATCATTAGCAGTATGTTTCATTAATCTGTGTTAGAAATATCTAAAGTAACATTTTTTGTAATGTGTTGTAAACTTTTCGTGGCCCCGTATATGTAATTTCTATTTCTTTCAATAGAAGAATGATGAAGAAACTAAATAAAAAATTAAATAAATATTCCTATATATACTCATTAAGTCATATTCAACGAAACATATATACATATGTGTGTGTGTTTGTGTGTTTTTAAAATTTTCAGATACAGTATATCTGTTAAAAGACAATATGAATAAATACAAAAGGAAACTTATCTTAACCAACGCGTTTGGTCCTCTGAGGCATTTGTCTTGATAAAGTCCCTCAAAGAACGAAACGCCGGCTAAGAAAAGTGTTCCTATTTTCTTGGTTCATACAGAAAGAGAGAGCGGAAAAAGAAAGTGAAAGAGAGGAGTGGTGATAGATAGATAGAGAGAGAGAGAGAGAGAGAGAGAGAGAGAGAGATAGAGATTACAAGCCAGTTATACAGGCATATACACATACATACGCACAGGCACACAGAGAAACAAACAGGAACTGAACCCAGTGCAAAAGAAATGGTTATGCCAGACTTTAAACCATGGGATATGTGCCTGTTCAATATGATAAAGGGAGTTTAATACAGAGACCTTTGCCACGCGAAAATAAATACACTTACGAATTGATATTATATATTATGAAACCGAATACATATGTGTGGGGTTGTTTTTGTTGGGGTGTTTGTGCACGTGCGTGTAAACTGTGTGCAAAAAAATGTTTTACTGAGCATAGATAGATAGATAGATAGATAGTTAGATAGATAGATAGATAGATAGATAGATAGATAGATAGATATGAACAGACTGAAATAGATAGATAGATATGAACAGACTGAAATAGATAGATAAATAGATAGATAGATAGATATGAACAGACTGAAATAGATAGATAGATAGATAGATAGATAGATAGATAGATAGATAGATAGATATGAACTGACTGAAATAGATAGATAGATAGATAGATAGATAGATAGATAGATAGGTAAGAAGGAATGAATGATCAAATGAGAGACAGGTAGGAAGAGCTATATACATTTGACATTTCGATATTTTATTTTAGATTCATCAGAATTTTGTGGGAGAACATTTCGAGATTTGAAATATGTTTTTTTTTTTTTATTGAGCGCATAGATGTCACGTGTTCATGTTTGTGACTTTGTGGCATGTATGCGTAAGCCAAATTTGTTGTATAAAAATCAAGATATCAAGATTTGTCTTTTGTCATGTTTAATCCAGAATTCACACACACACATATATATATATATATATATATATATATATATATATATATATATATATATATATATAAAGTGAGGAAGACAGATATTTGTACAGGTACAAAGTTTTAATTTATTGCATTTACAACTAATTCTTCATATTTTTCATATAATTAACTGTATAATAACTAAATATTCATAGAAAACAGAAAAAAACGATTTAATAGAAATAAATCCCATTTATCCATTTTAATGAGCGAAAAAAGTACCCGTAAAATGCAAATTTTAAATTTTAAAATTTAAATTGCTTTAATACTCTAGATTATTCAAGTTGAATATTCTAGACTACTCCAGTAATGTTATTAGTTGTTACTTTTAGCCTAAAATATACAAACGGAAAATTCTGTAATCGCTATCCGTGCAAGAAGGTTATCATTATGGCAAGAGCTACTGACTGTTAAGCTCTGGAAAGAAGGTAAAAGTTACAGGAAAATCTCAGACAACCTAGATATTTCATGTACTGCAATTAGTTCATTCATTGTAAGGTATAAAAACTCAAAAATGTTGAAACCAAACAAGAACATGCACTTCACGAAAGATTTTCTAATGATCTTCCAGGAAATTAATGCGTCAAATTAAACAAAATCCAATGGTTACTCGTCAAGAGTGTCAGGATAATTTGATTTCATCGGGAATATGTCTCTAAACGTACAATAAGCAATGAAATTCATAGGAACAATCTAAAGTTATCCTTCCCTTGGAAAGCTCCACTGCTATTGAAAAGACACAGAGATGTCAGGTTGAAATACGTTCGTGAACAGAAGGATAAGGAAAAATCGTATTGGGAAAGAGTATTACGGACAGGCAAAACCAAAAGTGAGTTATTTCGACGTCATTCTAGAAATTATGTAGGAAAACAGTGAAATTTGTTGGTGACATCATCATAGTTTGGGGATGTTTTTCTTCAAAAGGTACTGACAGCATATAACTAATAGTTGGTAGAATGAATGGCGCAGCATATCAAAATATATTAGAAGCAAATGTAATGATTTTGGTTGCAAAAACTTGAAGTTTTTTCTGATAGGATCTTCCAAAAAGCCTAATGATCTTAAGCACACTGCAAAATCTACGAAGAAATAGCATGCTGAAAATAAACGAAACATACTGAAATGGCTAAGTCAGACCCAAGATTTAAACCCAATCAAGAATCTGTGGCGTTATTTAAAAATTCAAATCCAATCGTGAGCTCCAACAAACATCCGGGTTATGAAGGCCATATGCAAAGAGAACTGAAAAAAAATACCAGCTAAAGTTTGCAAATCATTATTTGAGAGCTACAAGAAGAGGTTGGTGAATAATGGCTATTCTACAAAGAATTAAATGAGATTATGTATTATTTTTTGTATTGTACGAAAACTTTTTTACCCATTAAAAGGAATAAATGGTATTTATTTCTATTTCATCATATTTTCTGTTTTCTATGCATATTTAGTTATTATGCATATGTGTACAGTTAATTATATGAAAAGTATGTTTATTCATTAGTTGGAAATACAATAAATTAAAAATTTGTATGTGTACGAATATTTGTTTACTCCACTATATATATATATATATATATATATATATATATATATATATATATATATATATATATATATATATATATATATATATATATATATATATATATATATATATATATATCAACAAGAGGTACTTTGATTCATAATGCAAGGTGCCAGCAATATAGTCTGTTAGCTGAAATACGAACCTGATTCGAGTTTTCAGCTTAATCTGGTTTTATAACAATTTTCGTTCTTGGGCGAATCTATCACTAGGGCAGCCCATTCTATGTCCAATTTCCTTATCTCTTCCACTAAATTAGTTACAACTGATCCATACGCCGAAGTATTTGATCCATACACCGAAGTATTTGATATATACACCGAGGTAATTGATCCATGCACCGAGGTATTTGATCTATGCACCGAGGTATTTGATCCATACGCCGAGGTATTTGATATATGCACCGAGGTAGTTGATCCATATACCGTGGTATTTGATCCATACGCCGAGGTATTTGATCCATACGCCGAGGTATTTGATCCATACACCGAGGTATTTGATCCATACACCGAGATGTCTGGACTAATCTTCAGAATAAGACGAAGATATTATTACAATTGCCTTATTAGGAATTGCTTCTTACCTGATCTGATGCAAGTTTTTTAACATAATAGTTTAGAATACTCTAGGAATTATTTCTATCCAATAATTCTAACCCACATACTTGTTTTCTTGCTTTCATCCAATCTCTTTTTTTATTTCTGTTTTATCCTTCATTTTGACTCACTTATTTCTCTCTTTTCTCTTTCCTCTTCTTACTCCTTCATTTTCTCCGTAGTTAAATACACACATATAAATGGAGATTAGTTTTGTTACAAC